TACCTTTCCCTGATAGACCCACTAGGTCACACAGCACAAGATGTTGCTTACTTCTCTTTTATTAAACACGGACTCCGTTTGCATCCACATAACCTAACACAGTTATCTACCCAGGGACAAGCAGAGGAAAAAAAGTCACAGCAATGGGAGGTGGGGACAGGATCCAATGGCTTTCCAGTGAGACTAACGTGTTGGCATCAGGTCCTGTGACCTACCAATCTCCATTTGTTTAGTGGTGTTTTTCTCCCCATGTCCTGACAAGGACCAGAAATCGGCTATTTTTAAGCATGAACAACAAATGTAGCTCTAACACAGTCAGATACAGGAAAAAAACCCAAACAACTGACACACTGCAGATTCCTGGTGCCTTGCAATATATAGGTTCAAACAAGGTAGAGCTTGTATGAGAAGCTTTTAAGCAGAAATGGAGAGGAATCTAAGCATATCTTAACTCCCCGTGTCTGAAGCTCCGGCTTCAATCAGCAGAGAGTGACTGAACTCAGTCTTTTTTGTGGACTGCAGCTCGACTGCTGCCTGACACAACTACACAACACCAAGGGGACTTTCTCCTAGGCATCGTACAAACAGAGGAAGAAGCAACAGGTCACAGATTGCCAGGAGGATGCTGGAAAACAGGTTACAACATCAAATGCATTAGCCTACTAAATACTGGTCACTGAAAGCTTCCAGGCTCTTAAGCCACAGAATAACATGACTGGAAAGCAAAAATGACCCACTATTGCTAGCCACAAACCACACAGTTTAGGTACTGGAAACAGCCTGTGTTACACAGCACTGCTGCCCCAGTATTTACTCAGGAAAGCCTCTGGGACTCGATAGCTGCAGATACAAAAATGCACTAGCTTACAGCTGGCTCAGGTATGCCTGCAACCAGTGGCTACAGCTCAGTTAATGCTGTTAAATCAGTTGGAATAAAGGACTCAGAACAAAGTAGGCAGCTCAGAGAATTTAAGGAATATTCTTTAAGTTATTTCCCACATCCCTTTCTTCCCTACAGCTGCTGGTGCCCTAAGTTGCTTGCATAAATACAAGCTAATATTGTCATGCATCTCAAACTGGAAGACAGCAGCAACACTTGATTCTGGCCAAATAAAGCTTATGCATGACCACATTAAAGGCTACTACTTTTGTTCTACTTGTCTGCTTTCTCCTTTGAATTTCAACAAGACAAAAATACAATTAATTTCTTTTCTAAAAATACTATAAGGACTGAAATGTAGTATAACAATATTTGCATTTCTTTGCAGAGTAGCAGCATTTCAGGTACAGACAAATATCTTTTTATCAGTTGGATTTCAGTTGGTTTTGGCCAGTCCTCCAACTCTTTTTGAAATCAGTGAACTTCATAAAACATATGTTAGCACATTTATTATCTCCATTTACACCCTTTACTCTAACAAACCAAAGTCTGTCATCACTAATGGAGGCTCAGTAAAACTAAATGAAGAAACAGACTGAGTTATTTCTTACTTCAAATGAAAATCCAGACCTCATCTCAGGGTCAAGGTCAAAAGGAAGAGTTGGGTGTAAATGCAAAAAGAGCCAGACGGCTTTTAATTATACAGTAGTTGTTACGAGACATTTAGTACTTCAGAAAGGTTTATCCACCTGTTCCAATTTACCTTACAAGCCATGATGAATGCCAAAACCAAAAAAAAAAATTACTGCCATATGGATGCCTAGTTCATACATCTACTGAACGCACCAACCATATAAAAATACTCATTTTCTGTCTCCTTAAGAAAACTTTGTAATGGCTGCTATCATTCTTATTGAAAAAAATTTAATGTGTAATCGTGCTAGAAGACTGGAGAGGTTGTGACAAATCACAAACAGAAAGCAGCAAATCTCGAAACTACCAGCAACCTTTAAAGACCACACATCCATTATGTTGTTGCACAGAACAGCAAAGACATTCTTGCTATTGAAAGCTTGAGCTTTTCAGAAGCACCGTTTATTTTAATTTGTAGATGCTGAAGTAAACTTCTCCTACTCCTGAAATATAATTTTTCAGTTTTGCCAGAGTTGCAGTAAGAGTTCTAAGAACTTGATACTGAAGTCCATGAAGTCTACAAGTCCCTCAAACTTCAAAAGGGTCTTAGTAATCCTTAAGTCTAAAATACTGCAGAGAACCCTAGCTCCACATGTTGTGTCAGTGTACCAAGGAAACAAAGCAGAGGTTTCCAAACTGCTTCAAAGTTTCCACAACTTACCAGCCAGTCTTGTAAAGACAGATAATATTCTCAACTTTTCCTGAGAAAAGCTGGATTACATCTATTTTTATATGAGGGAGGAGAAGACTATGATGATGTAAAGACCAGTCAAAAGCAACAGGTCCAGACTGTGCCTGGATAGATTTTGTCTTATAAATCAAGCTGGTAGACTAAAAGCACAGACAGACATCTATTGCCTAAATACAGGAATCCTTGTACGATGGCAGCCCTTCTCTGCTTGCTTCAGGGGTGGCCCCAGTCTTTCAGTTCCATAAACCATTTGATAAAAGCTCCTTGTGGCAAAGAGCTGTAAGATTTAAACAGCTGAAAAGACAGGTAGTTCTGTTCTCAGGCAGGCAGGGACAGCAGCTATTTTTTACCCCTCAGCATCTCACTCCTCCAGTGTGGGATACGGCTGGGGTGGAGACTAGCAATATGAACCTTCAGCAGCTTGTGCTAGCTCCTTCCTCTCACAGCCACCACAACTTCTCATAATCCTAATGCCAGTAATGTGGTACAACCCCTGCCAGAGCATTGTGCTTGAGCTTCTCCACAGCTGCATCTTGGCCACATCTGCACTGTAATCACGTGGGCATTCAACACACACTGTGAAATCTTGGCAGTATTGTACTGAATGGTCAAATTCTCATTGACTAAAGCAGAGCCAGACTACCACGTATAATACTTTTACTTGGTCAGAATACCTCTCTTCCTCCTGAGGCTTGTAAGAGCCATAAATAAAGTTAAAGCAATATAGTACTCAGTGGTTTTAACAGAAGGCCTCCTCTGTTAAACGGCCACCAAAAATAGTTGCTTAAGACTGGTTATACCGAATCATAAATGACAGAAGGCTGCTGAGGATTTTTTTAAAAACACATCACTACTTTTATTGGTTGTCAATGTTTTCCTGTTAGTCAATAAATGCATTTGATATAGGTGAGTTTCCAAAGTAAGCATGATGGGAGGGCTGGTTTAACATTCAAACTAATTTAAAAAGAAGTCACCTCAAGTTTCCCTTTGGGATATTTACAAAATATGTTGTTAATTTGTTGCACCTAATTTGTGAGTATGCACTGAGAGGTAATTAGTGTGGAAATTCAATCAATTTTACCATCTTTCTGTTCAACTCAAAAAATTACAGTTTTCTGGCAGTGACAACAGTTTTAGTATTTGCTTAATTTCCATAGATCAGGAATATACCCCAAGCACAAGATACATTATAAACATATGCACACGCAGAATAGCCATAGATAGCGTGAATACCATCACCACTATATGTATACAGTCACACAATATTCCCCTGCAGAATTTTTAAAAAAAATATGTATTCTAATATAAATCATATTACTGGCTGCAGGTATTGGACATCATTGAAGTTTTCAAGGCACTTTCTATAGTAAGATTTATTTAAAAAGTTGTTTCTAACTTTGCCAAACTAACTGCCTGTTCTACAACTTTATATGCTGGCTGTCTGCCCTGAAGCTGGGGTTTTGGTTTTTTGCTTGTTTGTTTGTTTAATTTCAGTCAAAATCCTCCTCCAAGAAGGAGACCACAGAACACTTTCTTGGTTTGCCAAAATGGCAGTCTGGCAGCCTCTCCTCCAACTTGAGCACCCTATGCTCTGGAGTGAGAATTTAAAATTTGATGAGAGGTTTTGAGGAAGGAGAAATGAACCCCAGGAAGCCTAAGCTACAAGCCTCTGAGAGAACCATAAAAATAACAACGAGGTTTTCACATACTTAACAGAGACTTTATGATTTCAGAGGCTAAAAGTTTCGAAGACTGGGTCTCACTGAGCATATTCTCTTCCGTCATGACTCCCAACAATTGTATGTGCATATAATGTCTTCAGAAAACAAATGACTATGCTTCCTTTAAGCCCAGGGTTACAGGTAAACCCAGGGTTACCAGCAAACACTTTCACAGCAAATGCTGCTACAGGCTGGGGCGGACAGTAGAAAGAAGCATCTCTCAGCAGTCCAGATGATGCCAGCCAAATCGCAAAATCATATAAAGAGGCTACAAACTTAACCAGACACTCCTACAATTCCTTGGCTATAAACTTAACCAGGACACTCCTACAATTCCTTACCTCATCCACAATAAAACTTCTAAATGAACAAGGATCCCATTGGCAAAAACATCCTTCACTAGTTGACCCCAAATTTGTTACAAGCCTAGATCCATCCTTTGTGAGGCAGGAGTCCCATAGGAAAAAAAAAGTTGTAATGTGATCTTGTTACCAAAGGTAAAACCACACATCTTCAACTATGGTTCCATGTTTCTGTGTTTTCCAGCATCAGAGTGATTATGATGTTACTAAGTTGTTAAAATACAGTATCCAAGTTCTCTGACCATTCATAAAATTGAGCTAATTCATGTCCGCAATTTTGATAACCTAATGTGCCCATATAAAAGGATCCATCATACAATCAAAACAGGACTGTAAATGCATAATTGATCGTTACGCTTAGAGCCTAAATGTGTGTAGTTTTAGCAAAATCAACATGAGTACTTACAAAGCCAAGTGTGTACCTGTACTCTTGCAAAACCAAGGAAACAGTAAATGGTTAAGGTAATACATATGCAAATATATTACCATCTGCATTTCTTCAAGAGCTTTTGAAAAGCTTGGTTTTGCAAGATAAGCTGGCAACTTGTGGAAAACCAAGCAAATTAAAAAATAAGACCACTTAGTACAAATTTTGGTTACTACTGTGTGTACAAGACAGCATCAAAACAAAATGCAAATAATCATACAGTAAGTATTTACCAGTATAGATTTTATTTCTTTTCAAAATAATGGGGTTTGTTTAGATTTAAAATAAATCAGTAATTAACTAAAACAAATGTACACTTTGTTAGAACTTCTGGTAAGTGCCCATCTTGGGTTCTGAAAATGTGTGACAGAATACAAGAAAATATAAAGTTGGGTTAGCAAAATACAATAACGGAACTTTACAAGAGGGACACACATTCTATATTATTTTAACTAAGTCTATCAGTTAAACGTGCTGTAACAGCTTTCCACTTAGAACGAGTGCCTATAAACTTAATCTGCAACCTGAATCCCAGGACAAATTCACTTCTGATCAACCCAAGGCTAGTAGGTCCAAAGAAAAAAAAAATCCATACCAAGCTGTGTTTCTTCATTGAACAAATATTCCCTTTTTCCATAAAGTATTAATTTAAAATTTTAATAGATCACTATATATGATAAAATCACAATAAAACATTCTCTTATTATTCATGATTCAACTACCTTTGTAGCCATAATGTAAGTTATTTTATACGCAAACAGTTAAGTGTTTAATAAAAAAAATTCTTATTTACTGCATCTAGTGAAAAAAAAAAAATTGATGGTTCTTAAAAAAAAAAAGGACTTGCTGTTGGCTATTGCCAAACAATTCCTTCCTGTGACTTGCTTTTTTGAGAATTATGACGAAACTCTGGAGTTTGTTGCGATCTAGACAACCAAAGATGATTAGTCTGTATGGGAGCAGGATGCACAGTACTTGATTAAACCCACAAACTTCTCAAACGAGCTATAAGGATAAAAGAATGTGTTTTGTTATTGTGTCCATTTCCAAAGGACAGCTCACAAGGTTTCCTCCTCACGTAAAAACTGGAACACAGCTGAGAAGTCTTTCAGGGCATAGCCTTTGGCACACATCATCCTGTAGATCTGATGTGCCTGGGATCCCAAAGGAACTGGTGTCATCGAGTTAGTGGCAGAAATCTGGGCCAAGCCAAGATCCTGTGGGGAGGAAGAAGAGAGAGGAAGAATGGAAGGAAAGAAAAAGAGAAAAAGTCACAGGAGAAACAATAAATAGCCATGTACATATTATAGGTTATTTGGTTTCCAGTGTGACAAGAACTCTACTGCCAACAAATACAATACTCCAGCCTTAAAATTTCCATCCTGGAAGAAGTGAGTCTTGTTTAGTTTTTATTCTTTAAAACAGTAATTCAATGTTATTCAACAGAAAAACCTCAAGCTTTGCCAGGCAGACAACCACCTTAAGAACAGGAGGAATTTTAAGATTCTAGATCACTATCTAACCTGGTAGCAAGACTCAGACTCTTCCCCACTGTGTTAGGTCATCTCCAAAAAGAAAATCTCCCTGGCTATTCACTGAATCTTTCAGAACATAGGTTCTAATAGCATCATTTTCTTGTTTGGGCAAGAGGACTTCTTTATTTCTAGAAACTGGTTACGAGTCAAGCAGAAGGAATTTAAAAAACAAGAAAATTGAAGCCACTTAGCATACATACATTTAGCGTAATGTAACCAGTTAATAGAAAAATGAGAAGCATAGGCCCCTTTGTGAATATAAACGGTTTGGAGCCTTAACTGGAAGGGTCTTCATAGGAGAGATGATCCAGCCCTCTGATGATCTTCATCGCCCTCCTCTGCGCTCACTCCAGCAGGTCCCTTTTCCTTTTACGTTGGAGGCCCCAGAGCTGGATGCAGCACTCCAAGTGGGGTATCACAAGAGCAGATAGAGGGGGAGAATCACGTTCCTTGCCCTGCTGGCCATGCTGCTTTTGATGCATCCCAGGATGCGGATGAATTTCTGGGCTGCAAGTGCACATTGCCAGGTCACACTGAGCTTCTTGTCAACCAACACACCCAAGTCCTTCTCCTCAGGGCTGCTCTCAATCCATTCTCTGCCCAGCCTGTATTTATTTGTGCTTTGGGATTTCCCTGACCCGAGTGTAGCACCTTGCACTTGGCCTTGATGAACTTCATGAGGTTTGCACGGGCCCACCTCTCACACTTGTCAAAGTCTTTGAGTACCTCACCCTTCTCCAAATCCCAGACAACCAGGTCTCCTGTTTCCTTCTGGAGAGGACCTCCATTTTCCCTGGTCTTCTTTTTATCACCGATGTACCCACAGAAGCTTTTCTTGTTGCCCTTGAAGTATCTGGACAAATTTAATTCTATCAGGGTTTTAACTTTCCTAACCTCATGGCTGTTTGGACAATTTGTCTGTATTCCTCCCAGCCTACCTGTCCTTGCTTCCAACCTCTGTAGGTTTCCTTTTTGTGTTTGAATTTATCTAGAAGTTCCTTGTTCATATGCACAAGCCTCTTGATGGTTTTGCCTGACTTCCTCCTTGTTGGGATGCATTGCTCCTGAGCTTGGAGGAGGTGATCCTGGAATATCAACCTGCTCTCCTGCGCCCCTTTTCCCTCCAGGGCTTCATCCTGGTACTGTATCTTGCAGATCTTTAAAGAGGCCAAAGTTAACTCTCCTGAAGGTCAGGGTAGTGAGCTTGCTCCTTGCTGTCCTAAGGATCTTGAACTACACTGCTTCATGGTCACTGCAGCCAAGGCTGTGCTTGAGATTCCCATTCCCCACCAGTCCCTCCTTGTTGGTGTGAACAAGGTCCAGCATAACACCTTTATCAACAATGCATTCCAGGAACCTCCTGGAGTGCTTGTGCCCTTCTGTGTTGGCCCTCCAGTAGATATCAGTGTGGTTAAAATCCCTCATGAGGAACAGGGCTTGTGAACGTGAAACTGCTCTGATCTGTCTATATTGGTCTCATCTGCTCAGTCTTCCTGGTGAGGTGGCCTGTGGCAGATCCCCACTATAATGTCACCTGTCCCTGCCTTCCCTTTAATTTGACCCATAAGCTTTCAGAGAACTCCTCATCCATCCCCAGGAGGAGCTCCATGCACTCCAGCTGGTCAATGACATAGAGGGCAACATCCCCTCCTCATCTACCTGCTTGCCCTTCCTAAAGAGCCCATATCCTTCCACTTCAGCACTCCAGTCACAGGAGCCATCCCACCATGTCTCCATGATGCCAACAAGATCACAGCCCTGCAGGCACGCACACAGCATGTGCATAGAGTCATTTAAGTTGGGCCCTGATGAAGCCAATTTACTGGCTGCAATTCCTTTGTGTTGCTGCCTCCTGCTGACCCGCAATCCATCTCCAGGCTCTGGGCAGCTATTGCTGTCACTGGCATCAAACTGGTAGGAGTGGGATGGATGGAGGTTCCCCTCCTCCAGCAAGTTTAGTTTAAAGCCCTCTTCACCAGCTGCACAAGCCTGTAACTGAAGATGCTCTTCTCCTTCTCTGACAGATGTACCCCATCTTTGATACAGAAGAACTGAGAGACTGTAATACTGCTGAGAGCACCTCTGACTTCTCAGGAATGACTTACAAGACAGGTCTTTACTTTCTGTGTGTCTGGATTTGAATTAGCACAAGGAAATTCAAGATCTTACTCTACTCTCTAAATGTCACTTCGATCTGTAAATCGGCTCTATAAAGGTCATTCTGATACAAATCAGAATTATAGTTACTTTTCCTATTACCCTTGAATGACTTCAAGATCTAGGAAAATGGAAAAACATACATTTTAGATGACACAAGATCCAAAACAGTTTTCATCTGCATCAGGGCAGATCATTTCTTCTTGTCTAGCAACTGTTGAAAGACTGATGACCTGACAAATCTAGGAACAGTTACTTTAACTTCACTTAAAATAAGATATTCCATGACATATTCCTAGCTTCTTATAAATGCTCTTTGTGAAACCCGTCCCATATTATTCCTTTTATTCAAGAAAGCTTAAATCACGTAATGGAATATTAGAATGGCAAAATCATCTAACTCCAAACTAGGGAAGGGACATTCACAGAAATAATCCCTGAAAATTCTGAATAGATTTCTAGCATAAATAGAGTTTCATAAATGTCTTGGTTTTGGCCAATGACAGGGTTAATTTTTCACAGTAGCTGGGAGGGGGCAGAGCCTGGAGCCCTATGGGCATTGTCAAGACCCTAACATAACATGTTATTAAATACCATCTTACATCATTGTCAGGGGCAGGGGAAAGGCATTCTCTCTTCCTTCCAGGAAGAAAGGATGTTCCTTTCCGGAGGACAAGGAAAAGCTGGGGATGGAGGGTCTGTTCACCATTGCTTTTCACTGTCCCAGACTTGATGAGCGTTTTGCATGTAAATCACCCTCTCTTTGTACATGTTTTTTATTAGTTTCTTATCTCATTGCTGTTTCCAGTAAATTGTTCTTATCTCAACCTTTTGTGTCTCTCACCAGAGGAGAAGGGCAGTGGCTCGAGGGTTTTCTTTTCAGAGTGAGTACTAAATTGGGGACTACCACTCCTAAACCAATAAAAAGTAGGTCTGTTCACTTTAATAATGAAACTCTGGTTCCAAAATGGCTGAAACATTTAACAACATTTCAGCAGTTAAATGGACAAGGACTCCTGACTCTGAAGTGCTGGAAAGTTGTTTTGCTTTTTTAAACTCCATTCCCTATCTGGAAAAGTAAAAATGAGAGCACAGTTTATGCCTCCTCTCATATTCTTTGGAACTGACAACGTCTTCAGATGTCTCAGTGCACCGAATATTCTAACCACTTTTTCTCAGCTTGGAATAGGGAAACAGATTCTCTTTTGCAATCTGCTTCCAATGCTCACTTTGGAATTACCTGGTTCCTTACATTTGTTTTGCAGTTGATGTAAATGAAACTGCCATTTGGAATAAAGCTCAAAGGCTGTCTTGACATAACCCAAGAAGAATATGATATAAATTCAGCTCTTCAAAGTTGACATTTAATTAGCAACTGTGCTGTCAATGAAAGATGGAGCTTCTGGCCTGCAATGCCTTGGACACAAAGGTGGCGTGGGGAAATAAACTAGATCTTTTCAATGCAAAATCTTTAGAGCAGGTTTCATATCAAGTTGACTAAATTCTATGTTTCAATATCAAATTTTAAGACCAAGCAGCTTTTCAGAGGTCTCTGGAAAACTTTTCTGACCCAAATACTTAAAATAAGGATCCTCTGGGTTTGTTTGAGAGATCCATTGCTGATAAAATATTTTAAGAAAGCCTTTGACTTCTACCATATCTGATACGTGAGCACTAACTTGAGGTTTAGTAACTGTGTTTAGTGACTGTTACTGAGGCACTCCTAGATATTTTCAGGGTTTTCACTACCTCCTTCTCCTTTGAATATGTACTTTTCTACTCTTAAGTGGCAAAATCATGCTCTGCATTTCCCATAAAAAAATGCCCATCTCAAACAATTCACAAACTACATGATATGTCACATACCAGGATGAAATGGATAGCAGCAAAAGTCTTTCCATGAACCTAAGGAGCAGTGTCTTCAAAGAGGTCACCACTGCACCAAATAATAGCCTGAACACGATCAGCTGTCTTGGCTACTTACTCATTCAAGAAATCTTCCATCTATATAGAATAACATAGCATTGTTCAAGAGGCATGAGAGGAATTTAATGTCTTTCCTGCTTACTGAGGATTCAAGCCTAAAGAAGGCACTCACTCTTCAGGACTGTCAGGAGAGGCAGTCAGAAGAGGTGAACAGCAACTACAGACCTCTCCGAGGAACTCTCCTCTTGGTTATCACTGATACTTTATAACCAAAAGCTGGCAGTTTAAACAGGCACAAGCCAGGCTGCTATTCCTCCAACGAAAGTAATATCTTTCAGGGCAGCTTCCAGGAGAGATGCAGGTCCCCCTTAGAAGTAGACCAAAGGAAAAAAAAAACCTTTATAAAGAAACTTAAAATGGAGAGAAGGAAATACGTGCCCCTAACACATTTATGCTGTGAAGTTATTCTGGACAAGATTAAGAGGTATGAATTATGAGACAAGAGATTGCAGTATGAAACAGGGCATAACAGACAGAACAGATTCTGGAACCAGCACAAAAGATGAAAACAAGCTTTGAGGCAGGACCAAGATCAGGTTGCTTATCTCTAATCAATAGCTCTGGCAAACTCCAAACAATAACCTAAAACTTCTATAAATCAGTAATTTAAACACCAGCTTATTGTCCCCTATGTTCAATGGCATGAACATGATGTAAAAACTGCTGTTTTCCAATATTTTAACACATCTCTCAAAGAAATGAAAGTACCTGATCATTGGTCCATAAACGTAACATGTAGTGGGTCAGCCATTGAGGGTTTTGAGCCATGTAGCATTAGCAAAGTTTTTCGATGCTACCACATGCAAAACACTCTGGACCCACCCTGGACAGAATTTGTCTAATTTCATTGAATGTGCAAGTGCACCAATTGTCCTAAATCAACTGTGAAATGACAGGAACAGTATCGGTATGCAGGTATGATATATAGGAGCTCCAGCACTTCGGAGATTTGCATATCAGCATCTGAGTTTGTTCACCACCTTTCAGAATGTTGTTTTAGTTTTAAGAGCTAAATTTCCACTCTTTGTGGAACAGCTGAAAATGGACAGGATGCCTAACCAGCTGGGAGCACTCATAAACTGGTATGCCTAAAACCTAGCCTGTATGAACTAAAATACCTCCCTTAGATCAGTATCTCCACGAAACTGATATTCAGTGTGAAATTATTCTCTGCACTTACAATTCTTAGATGAGAGATCTCTTCCAGGGCTGATTTTATAATTTACCTCAGGCAATCATTGTGCTCAGTGCAGAAGTAGTTCCAGAGTCAGTTCTACAGCTCCTTCCTCCAACTGTGCGTCCTCATCAGTGGGGCGCAGAGCCCTGACTTCCTTGCCTACTTTCCTCTGGCCTCTAAGAGTTTTGCTTTCCTGACCACAGAGTGACTCAGAACAGTGCTTTTCCTGGAACAGCCAAGAGCATGGCAGTAAGTGGATTCTCCTGGGATGGGTAACAGCAGGTTTTCAACTTGTTCATGCTGAGAAGACCCTAACTGCCAGAACTCCCACTTCATGGAGAAGAATTACTTCTAGTAATTTAGATTACTAGGTTATTATTCATGAGAAGCACGGCTTCTGCCACTAAGACAATTCAGGAGGGCTCACGATGTAGATATCTGCAGAAGATCAACCTGTGGGGATGTGGGTTAAAATCTGTTTGCTTTCTGCATTCAAAATGGCCTTAGGCAGAAGGTCTAAGCAATTGGCTTAGCAAGGACAGGGATGCTAGAGAGCTTGCCCAATAGCACAGTTTAGATATCTAGAAGAAAGTGGGCCCAAAATCTGAGATGCTTATGCCACTATTAGCAACTAATTAAATCACCTGGATTCCCCAAATTCTCTCTTGAACTTAGGCTTCTATATTCTAGAGCAGTCACGCAAGAGGCACCTAAATGGCTTGCTGAATGCTCACCTTACACATAAGTCCACAGGGACTCCTTTTTTAAGGCAAAACTCAAAAAGACAGTGTATATAATCCCAATGAGTGGCTCAGCAATAACAGTGGCTAGAAAGAAGCTAGAGGTTAGGGAAAAGCTCCCTAAACAACTCATTAATTCAGAGCTACAGGAAGAGGCTGGGTTCCTCTACATATTATCCTGTAATAATAAATTTTCACTGAGAAGAATGTTTGCAAGAAGCCCAGAGAGAAGCAACTGCACATACTTCACATGCAAGTGTTATGTACCTTAGCCATGAGTGTTGTTCCAAAGCCACCTTGGTAATTATTAGCAGACGGTACTCCTTCCATCACTCCAGGAACAGGGTTGTACGTATCGCTTGACCAACAGCGACCTGAGCTCATATTTAGGATTTTGGCCAGCAGCTTTGGGTCAAGGCCTAATCTGTCAAAGGTCAAGGAAGAGAAGTGTTAATGTCAAAATGCACAAGACATGGGTGACTTGTTTTCAATCTTAGAACCCTACCATCATTCCTCTCCCTTTATTATAAGTCATGAAAAATGACAGAGTATTGATATTGGGGGCAGGGATGTTGTATCTTAAATTAAAGAGCATCAATCCACCATTTAACCAGCAGGTTTTCAGAGCTGTTTTCCTTTTGCACTAAGCAAATCCTCTTCACCTAGCAATTTTGAAAGTGCAGGAAAAATAAAGGTCCTCTGAGAACACTAGTTCCCTGGTATTTCAATTACTAAAAGGCATTCTCTATTCTGCTACCTACTAGGTCATATACTTATTCTTCATGTCAAAATTATACTCTCTAAACAAAACAAAAAATTTACAAGGAAGCGTGGCAACGTGAAAGTACTTGTATGATGCATTTATATGTGAATGCTAGTGCATTTCTGAAGTAAACAAGGTAACGCAAATGATTCTGCTCTAGTAACGTGAATAAAAATGCTACACTTTGCAAAAAATATTACTATTGTGTACATCTGTACATTTGCGGCTTTGCTATTATTAAATCTTCACTATATACTCTTGCTTATGAGGCAAGTCTGCATCTCAGTGTGACACGCTATCTATTTGCAAACATATACTATAGTTCTGGGTCAACTGCTGATAAGGTTACTGATCCTGATAAAACAAAGCTTGTCCAAGTAGAAACGTCATTTGTTCTACCACAGAGATGATGGCATAAACTGCTGCTCAGTGCAGACCCTGAAAATTCTTCAATATTATAGGAAATTAATCCTCTTATGAATTCACATTTATGCTGATAATAAATTGCAGGTGTAATTTTACATCAATTGCATTTATACCAAGGACGAGCAGCAGCAGTTTATCTGGCCCTGTACAAATGTTCAGCTACGCTCAGGACAAAAAAGAAAGCAAGGGCATTACGTCCAGTAACAACCCAAGATGAGAAAAGGTCATTTTAAAAGGCATATATCACAACCTTCTACAAAGGATTTTTTATAGAATTCAATGCTCTTTATATTTGCTCCTACACCACAGACTTCTGCAGATCTCCATAGCCTAACACTGCTTCTGGGCACTATATCACTCAAAGTTTTAATTTATCAATGAAAAAAGCTCATTACGGATGGAACGGTTGCTGAAATGCATGTCTATTTATTTCAGTAGGCATTTTGGATTTGAAAAACTACGTTTAAGACAGACATAGGGTGGCTCCTATTCCTATAATGGCGTGTGCCTCCTGCAATTCTGTCATCCTAATGCAAAGCAAGATCATTTTTTGTACCTCAGATAGCTTTTTAGCACTACTGCTGTGCACTCTTATTTATGATTTGCTGCAGCAACCCTTAGAACTCAATGGAAAGTCTCCTGCTGGCCTGAATGGGATCAAGCTTTATTCTCCTCCTGTTTTTTCAACCCTCTGACTCAACTGAATGCTTTCAGTGGCCATTTATTAAAAAAAAGTATTTTTCAGTACATGTTTTCACAATAAATTGTACTTTTATCTTGCATAATGCATCAAAGTCTTCCTCATCAAAGTCTTCATCAAAAGCCACTCCGAATAAGAGCTTGACTTGTAATAAAAAAACCCCTGCATTGTGGGAGCATTCAAAGCCTAAGCTTTCAAATATACAAAGGTTGCTTTTTTTTCCCCCAAAACAAATCTCTTGGCTTGTTTGTTTCCTTATCATTGTTATATCCAGATCAGTATTTTTAACAATATAGAGCCTATTTGTGCCATATCTAGCTGCAAGCAGAGGCCCCTAATTACAGCTGTGAGTATATTGCAAGACAGAAAGCTTATTATTTCAAAACACATATAACCCTCCCAAAGAATGCTTTTCTTACAGTGTTCCAACTATATCTCTGTGAAAGTATACTTTAAAAAACGTGTGTATTATACAGATATGTAAAATACTGTCTTGGACTAGATCTGGCATGTTTTTGCTCTCTGAAAAGAAAAAGGAAGATAGTTTGTATCCCTGCTTCTTCAAAATTCATTGCTCTTAAACACCATGCAGCTTCTCTTCAGGAGACTTGAACCTATTTTTTTTCTCCTTTTCAGCAAGTGTACCATTAATAAGAGCAAGTTAGAAGTGCTTTGCATTTCATCTTTCTGAAGATTCATCCACTGGTGCATATATAACTGACAGTTAAAATTAGACATATATTAAAATCAGTTACTGAAGAAGTCCTCTGTCTTCCACTGTGCCCAAAGCCTGTAATGGTCTGAAACCAGCTAGAATATACAGTAATTGTCATTCAGTGAGAGTCTATCCTAGAAAGTCATGCTTCAGTGGAGAAGACTGAGTTTCCATTTGAAATCAACAAATTAATCCAAGACAGGTATCTGAAAGGGCAAGTTTAATAGGAAGCAGCTACTGGGCTCTCAACCATGATAAAATGTTATTGCTGTTTCCCTGTAAATTGGCTGGGAACATACGATACTCTCTGCATAAGAGCTCCATTGCTGTTCAAGAGATATACTGCTCAAGCTATCAAAATGATGACAGTCTGCCAGTCCCCATAACAACTTGCCATTGGACATGGGAAGAGCTTGTGCATGTGTGTGTGAATTTACAATTACCAAAATGTTCTCCCTTATAAGCAGAAAAGAAGCCCATGTATTAACTGTACTTATAATAAAGCAAAAACAATTGCTTCCCTCAAATCAATGCTTCTTCAATAACATTCTTAATGAAGTGAACAGCAGAAACTCAGCAATGGACATACACACCAAAAAAAAAAAAAAAGGTTAAAATAGGATCCCCTCAGGCCACTGCTCAAAACTCAAGTTTTGCTGAGCTTTGACAAAACCAGATACTGAATACGTTCCTCCAAAAGTTCAGTCTGGAACAGATACAAAAACTGAAATAGTGTCTCACAAGAAAGACACATCCTGGTCTCATTTTAAGGTGTAGCAACTGAAGTAGTCAAACTGTTGAGAGTTTCCCATCTCAGAGTGCTTTCAATAAGTATTATACAAAGGTAGGACCCTTCTGCCACAGTTAAAAATTACTTGGTCACTGGCGTTTTAAACAAGGTAAGTGCTTTCCAGTGTCATTACTACACCCTCACAAGACTTAGCTGCAGCTCCATGCCAAAGATAGCAGAGCCACAGCTTCTTGGAGGAATTATTTTTCAAGGTACTCTTTCTAAAATTTGCAGTGCAGGTGTGTCCATGGCCAATCATTCCTCAGCCTGTAGAACATGCCCCTCTCTACCGTGCTAACTCTCATTTCTGCTCCTCTCTTGCATCCACAAGGGTGCTCACAGAAACCAGACTTAAAGACTATGTTTAAACTCAGCACAAGAAGAAAAAGTTCTTTTATCATCTTTTCACTTTATGTATCTGAAAAAGCAAGTGGGCACAAATCCATATATAGTAAAATTGCGTAGGAAGGAGTTGTGCAGCTTTTGGTATAAATCTGGGTGCCACTGTAGTCCCTCCTCAGAGAGATGATTTTCTCTACTGTTGGAAGTACAGAGTGATTTTGCAGTGAGGTTATTGCCATAGAGCCCTTACTGCTCTCCTGGTCCCTTATATCCCAACTATATTAGGCAATCTTGTCCTGTCTTGTGTCACCACATAAGCCCTTCTCTGAGACTTTGCAGCCAGTTTCTGAAGGAACCGCAAACTGCCTGTTAGGCAGCAACTTCCAACTGACCTAAAGACAAACCAGGTATCAGCAATATATAATTTCTGAGCTTTATTTTGCTGGTATGAAAAATTGTTTCACTGGAACTCAGGGCTCAGTAAAACAAAGCTACTGTCACTGAGATGATCAGCAAAATGAAAAAGACAAATAGTTTCTAACTGTGGATGGTAGCACTTAATGTTTTATTTCTTATTTGTGAAGCTTACATGTACTCTGTGTGTTGGTTTGACACAGTAAGTCAGTAAGTATTTTGCAATATGCACATTATCCATAAAACTGTATAGCAAAATCTACTCAAGATTTTTCCCCTGAAAAGTTGCACTAACATGCTAGAAAAGAAAATACAAATGACAATGCAAATTCATTTCCAGAATGTCTGCCATACCTTTTAACTGTTACTAGCAACATTCATAAAGCATCAGGAAAGTAATGGAAAAAACTAAACATAAGAAAACAAGCATTTTATTGGTCTTATTCTCTTATTCTAGATATAAGCAGAAGTCATCTTCTCCAGCATCTAAGGATGGGAATTTTTTAAAAAAGTATTTACGCATTCTAATCCAAATAGCTTCCAGTGAAAATGGGCATCTTCATTAGTAAATGAAGATGATGAGTAAATAAAGATGATGTTAGAGTAAAGTAGAAAAGCAAGTGGAATATAAACACAAAAATTACACAGCAATATTGCCCATTTTTCTGGGAGTTTATTGTGGGACTTTTTAACGTCAGGGGTTTTTCCCCCCCACCACATTCTATTTGTTACTTACGTTGAAGTTTGGAAAAATGCTATAATTTCAATTATAAAATAAATAATGTAATTTAAAAATCTGAAATTAATAAACCAGTCACTCTAACTACTTCAGATAATGAAAATTCAGACTGCATGGTTTATGAAAACATTACAGACGAAGTGGTTTATTAATAGAATTAACATCACATTGCTTTGAAGATTTAAGTTCAGAGTTGATGGAGGTGTTGTAATGACTTTCTAGTTATATCTACTTTAGAGAACAATATTTTGAATAATTATCCAAAGTCCCTAAAACTCAGTTTAAATGATGCAGCAGATATACACAATGAATAATATAAAGACATTTTATATTCTATCTAAAAGTTACGAGCATGTCTAAGTTCCACAATTCCTACTCTGAATTTTTAGATATTCAGTATCCTTTATCATTATTAGGTCAGAGCCAGACTTTCTTCACTAGATATGCATCAATTCAATAAATCAAGCTCAGCTTCTCACTCTCTCCAGACCAGGCAGCCACACTATCCTTTGAGCTTTAGACTTGAAAAAAAAAAATCATAAATTTACTACTATAGCAATACTTCTTATAATTAGAATGACAAGTGTTAACTTGTACATTAGAAATTTTGACACACCCAAAGTGGAAAGCTCTTATTCTAGATATAAGCAGAAGTCATCTTCTCCAGCATCCAAATCGCAGTAAATTAAAATCAATGCAAGGGTTCTAAATTACTTCATAAGGTTTTAAATTACTGCCTCTGTCTTAAGCCTCATGCAGTTTTGGACTAAATGAGATTCTGCTCTTTGTATAATTTTGATTACAATCTGCAGGTTTCTTCTACAATAAATACAGTTCCTTCTTGATAACCTTGATTGTAGGGTAGGGAGGTTTATATATTGTCACTGGACTTTTGCTTACAAATGCTGAATACAAATTCAGGCAAAATTTAAACTGGAAAAGGAAAAAATGAAAAATGAAAATCCTAAACACTTTCAAGCTACAGTGACTGCAGACATCAACTTGCTCTGCACAGGTTTACATGCCCAGAATATCTGTCTTCCAAACCTCTTGATTTTATTTTACCTTCAAATTTAACTCTAATCATTGCTACAAATGTAGATAAAACTATAACGAAAAATCAGTTGCATATGCTTTATTAAGTGAATCATGATTTAAAGCAGAACTTGATGAAAGCTTTCTGGATTACAATAGTTGTAAACAATGCTACTGGTTTTATTATGCCTCAATGCAGACATGCTTCAGTATTTTACAGACTCTCAATTTTAAAATGTAAATGGTACAGGATATTGATAAACCAATTAGCACTGATGCAAAGCAAATTCCTCTTTTATCTCAATTACAACATGACAACTTAATAGGTCAAGATAGTCTAACATCTGAGACAAGGGCAATTCAATAAAACAACTGCATCTTGATATGGTAATTAAGAGGAAATGTGAATCCATTACATTGTCTCGTGTACATGCACATATGTAGGTGTTCTTTTTATTTCTTTAAGCATTTGATACCCTGTTACTGTTTTTATAGTGTATCAAATCCACATGAACACAGCTGAGCCCAGTTGATAAGTATCTACAATATCTGTAGTTTTAACGGGCAAATTTTAAGGATGCAACTGCACAGAAAAATAATTCAAGGAAAACCCTTAAAAGATACACAATTGCAAACACAGGACTTCTTTGTCTATAAATTTGCAAATTATTCAGATCTGGCTAAAATAATTTAGGAAAGCTGCAAATACTTTGATACTGAACTGATATTTGCATGGACTCTATTGGAAAATAAAATCAAAAAGCCACAGCACAATAAAAAGGTTACAACTGGAAATTAAAAATAATTTTGCTTAAATATGCTGTGACAACTTAGATGTATCACATGCTAGAAAAGAAATGGTAATCTTAGCATTGACAAGAACGCAGAGGAGCATACTGCAGCTCTTTGACAAGCTAGGAGTTTTGGCAATTAGGACAAACTGCACTCAAAAAGTCGAAGAAAGGTAGATGTTCTGTTTTATGCTTTGATCTTAATTTGATACACATACTGTAGTACAAGTTTTGTTTTACAGTATATTTTGGAACAATTTAACAAAGTAAACAGAGCCAATGAGAGCCATATGGGAGTGTAATACTCTGAATAAACTGTACATTAGCTTAGAATACAAACAAAAACTTACCTCTGTATTATCTCTGCATGTTTATAATGCAAGACAAACATTATTGCACACGGCACTACAGCAGAACAAATAAATTCTTAACTTCAGATGCAGAATGCAACAGCCAATACAAGAAAATATTCCCATTCTGAAAACCCCTACTTTATTAAATAATCCCTCTAGCCTGTTATTAACTTTATAAGACAATTTCCTACAAAAGTTTATCTGTGCCATTTAATCATCATTGTCTCAGCAAAATCAACCATAATACATGAAAACTGTAAACACAGAAAAAATGCTTCAATCCAGTACAAAAATCAAACAAACCTGATTCCAAGATTCATAGCCTCAGCAGTGCCAATCATACTGATGGCCAAGAGCATGTTGTTGCAGATCTTTGCAGCCTGAAATTTTGTGAAACCATCAATTAGTTCATGCATTTTTGTAGACCTAACATGTAGGAATCATCTTTAACTAGGCTCAGGACAGTATGATCAAATATATTTTGGCAGCTCTCTTTTAGAGGTAGCACCAGTAAGCACAGATCTATGATAGTACAGTTAATGAAAACTGCTCTATGGCTCCTTCAGAGATTAAGAAGTACTTTTTTTCTTCGTACAGAAGGTCATAGAACAGTATACATAGTATACATAGAATGTAGGGGCTCTTTGTCCTTCAGAACATCCAGTAAATCTAGATTTAGATGAAACAAAATTAAAATATCCTCCTCTAAGTAGTATAATCTCAACAAGCCAATGTGGATAAACACCAATCAGACTTTGGTACTAAGCTATACAACATACTGGACAAAAGGACCATGAGGTTATTTTATAAACACATGGTTAGAGAGAAGTAAACCAGCAAACAAGTATGAAGTATGAGGATATAGTATAATGCATTTAGTCCTGAAATAAAAGAGTAGGTATCAGTAGAGAAAAAGCCAGAAAAAGGTAAGACTGAGATAACAATTAACCCTTCAGAAAGCATTACCTGCCCGGTTCCAACCTCTCCACAGTAAACCACATTAGAACCCATGCATGTCAGCAACTCTTTGGCAGCATTAAATTCTTGTTCCACTCCACCAACCATGAAAGTAAGGTTTCCAGCTCGAGCAGCTCCAACACCTGAATCAAGACAACATTGGATTTAATACCATTATTAAAAACCTCAAAAACTTAATAGTTTATCTTATCAGTAAGGGTCTGGTGATGCAATACTAACACTGCACTTATGATGAACATCTCAAATTCTGTGTAAAAGTAAGCCTATACTCTCAGTACTCAGAGGATCAGTGATCTTAATTCTCAAACATCTGATGGAGATAAAGCCACAATATCTTCCAGGCTCACTAGCGGATAAAGAAGTCACGAGACTTACATATAACTGGCAATGTCACTTTTTATAGTTTATATGAAGAAACAATCAACTCTTCCTGCAACTTTGCATTCCACAAAATTCATTGTATCTGAATTACTAAATAAAATTTCTTTTTTGTCAAACTATTCTTCACATATGATCATTGACAAACTATTACTCAAAGTAATAGTGCTTTTATCTCTGCTTTTATCACCCTTTCTAAACCTATGCTAATTTCTATCAATGCTTCCTGATTTTCACATAATTGAACAGCTAAAAGACATAGACATATAAAACCAAGTCTTCTGAATCTTTGCAGTTTGTTATGTTTCTATTCTGAAGCAAAATTCGTCTTGAGAAACTTTAAGTTAGTTTCCTATAAACACACATACAATGACATAAAGAACTATGAAAAGACAATGTAAAAATTATTCATACACATATGCACACAAACACACTATTCCCAGTTTTATTCTTGTAGTCTGTCCTGTCTTTACCACAGTTCAGTAAGCACACACCATAGTTCTTTGACTATACAGTTCCGATAAGCACAACTCCAGCAAATTTTTCATGTGATATTTATCAGCTCCATGAAATATTCTATTCCTTAAAAGAAGCCTAATTCTAATATGAATTACTCATACATCCTTAACCTCCTCATCCCTAGCATTTAATGAGTATAACAGCTAGAAAAATTTGGCCTAAACTGATGAACAAATCATCTTCCTCCCTAATTTTCACTTTGGCAAGAAGCATAGCCACTATAAATTTTCTGTGCTATGCATCAAACATGAACCTGTTGGGATGTACAGCTGCAGATAACAACCAACTTTCGAATTAAACATGTTCAGTTAGGTACAGTGCTCTGAAGTGCTGCAACACAGCTAAAGAAGTGGTCAGTTTTGGACTTTGTTTACAACATCAAGGACAGTTACACTGCAGTTCCTCACACTGAATAATCTGATGAATTTTTATTTGCTTTTCAATAAAAATTTCAATTGATTCACTGTCTCTGTACAACTGCTCTCTGTGACTATGTCTAAAAACACCCCTTTCGTTATCTGTCAACTGTTTATTTTCCCCATCCCGCCTTTCAGCATATGCCATCTTTTGAAATCACTGAAGAATTTCAGACAAATTTGGTAGATCAAGGTCTCAAAATGAGCAAATACCTACCAGTTATGCAAAAATAGGCAACAGGAAAGATGCTTCCAGTGATGAAGTACTTGCTCAACCTATATAAGAAGCTAGAATCACAGGACTTCTGGCGTTGGAAGGGACCTCTCAAGATCATGTAGTTCAACTCCCCTGCTCAAGGAGGGCCAGTTGAAGCATGTTGCCCAGGACTATGTCCAGTCTGCTTTTGAGTGTCTCCAAGGATGGAGACTCCACAGCTCCTGTAGGCAACCTTTTCCTGACTACTCTCTCAGCAAAAAAGTGTTTTCGTGTGTTTCAGATGGACTTTCTGTGTTTTAATTAATGACCATTGCCTCCTGTCCTATCAGTGTAGCTCCCTCTTCTTCAGTCTCTCCCATCAGCTTTTTATACACATTGATAAGAACCCCTCTGAGCCTATGCTTCAGGCTTAACAGTCTCAGCTCTCTCAGACTCTCCTCATATGAAAGATAGTCCAGAGTCTTTGTCATCTTCATGGGCCATAGCTGGACTCACTCCAGTAAATCTGTGTCTTTCTGCTGGTAAGTCCAGAACTGGAGCATCCAGAAGAACTCAGTCAGACCTATAGCTTTAAAAAAACAATCAATCTATATATAGAATACTGTCAAGGTACTGAAATATATACGGTGGAGAAGATCTTCCTGCCCAGGTTGAGAGACACCCTATTTGTAGCCAATCCTTAAACTCACGTGAACAAGTCCTTTCCAGGCAACTCACAGGAACTGGGCCAAGAGCAAAGCGCGGATTTAGAGCTAGCACAAACAGTTCATTGTTGTCTTCTTGGCTACCAGTTCACTGGTATGTACATGACCACAAGGATTGCTACATTAATAAACACAATGATTTTCATTCCATTCCTCTAGCTGTTTTTATTCAAACCACATAATGGCCTTTACCACTAATCCTGTGATCTGACCTGCAGCAAATTAAGTAGACAATTTAAGTCAAAGCTTACAAACAAAATCCAGTACTATCCATCATAGGTCAATAGCCTTGTATCTAGATTACAGACTGCTAAATAGCTTCAGAGATTCATTTATTAGAGCAAAATTAATGCTGACAATAGTTTTCAGCTGGTTAATCTTCTGACAGCTGCACTCTCTCACTTGTTCAAATACATTTCAAGAAGAAAAAATAAATCAGTTAGGTAGAAAAAAAAGAGCAATTTGTTGTATAATGCAGAAGGCTTGGAAAATTCTTGTTTTAAAAACAAAAACCTGTTTACTTCACGGTAAATTTTATCATCTACAGTTCTTGCCAACTATCAACTATTTCATCAGAATTAAAGGAGCAATGCAGCAAATTTATAACACTGGCAATTAAAAAAAGATTGGCATGCTGTCTAGGAGTACAAGAACTGTAACTTCATCTAAAAATAGAAATTAAAAAAATCATTATACAACAACGCACAGCTTTATTTCACAATCACAGATTCCATACCAACAACACAAGCCAGTAAAGTATTATCAGCTTTTAACACTAAAGAGAACAATGAAGATGCAGAGCAGCTAGTGCAATTAAAAAAGCTAATGATTATTTTTCCTATTTTGAGTTTTTTAAAGAAGTCTTACCACCTAACATGCTTTCTGCTGTTGAGGTCAAAAGTCCTTCAGAATCTAGCTGTTCCTTCTAAGATACAAAACCTCTCTTCAGATCCTCAGGGAATGATTTTCAGAGAAACTGTACCTGTGATTAGAATGCACTAAGATTTCTTCCTCCACTGCAAAGCAAGACTGATGGAGCCCATGGCTGCAGTCTTATACTTGCTTGGCTTCTCTAGGATGGTATCCCACACCTATGTGCAGAATCCTTTAAGGAGGTCACAGCAGCAGATCAACTGTAAGTCAGCTGGTCATAGAGCATCAGAGTTTGTCCCAAAGATATAAACTGACAGGAACAAGTTTGCCGATAAACATGATAACAGATCTAGCTACTAAGGGGGTATGCAAAAAAATTACTCTGGGAAAAAAAATATGGTGAGAAGTTATAGAGTAGCACTGCAATATGGCATATCCACTAGGAGATTGGTTTTCCACTTGAGTACTAGAAGGTTTTGGATGAAGATCTGAAAAATTAATTTCTTTTATCAGAAGGGGGATATAAAGAACTGCTTTTCAAAGCCTCTTGTCACATCTGTCTGCATTACTTGTGAGGCAAGTTCAATTCAGGTGCTTCTCACTTTGATTGCTAACGGATTGCTCAGTGAACCTGATGCAGACCAGTTCCTAAGTTCACAATTTTTGACAAAAATGGGAACAGAGACTTGGGAGCTCTCACATGACAACAGCAACTGGTCTCCGCTATCCTCAGACAGTCTGAAGATGACGTCAAGTTTTAACATCCAGACCAAGCAGCCTACTTTGGTAACACCCTGTCCTTCCATATTCACATCTCCATGCTTAATGCAACAGTCTTTAACATTGTTGGAAAACGTCTTGCAATTTGCCACTGATGCTTCCAGTTCCAAAAAAACACCCCCAAAAAGTCTTAGCTCTATAGCTATATCATTAACACTGCTTAGTTTCAATCAGTTTGCTTATTATTAAGAGTACAATTTTCTAGAAAAAAGATGTTAATATAAAAGTGTTATATGAAAGTATCTGCTTTTGCTTTCAGTTTTATTACATTTCTGTAAGAAGAGCAGAGGGTGGATGAGTTAAAAAGAAGTGATATTGTCAGGCTACGCACTACAGCACCACCACAGCAGAGATGCCGAAAACAGTTACGCTGCTGAGAACACAACACACCCAAGCAAATCCCTGTGCCAAAATATTTAAACCACTGTTGAGTTGCACCTGCAGATAAAAAAAATTTGTTGCTGACAAGGTTTGACACTGAAACGATGTGAATATAGCTGTTCAGAGACTCGAAGAGGACAAGCAGGAGATGAGGGCTATAACGGCAAGAAGCTTGGGCAAAAAATAATCTATTTTGTTATCTTTCTATTCAACATTTAGTCTACTGAGCAATTTTAACAACTAATTTTGTGATCTAAACTGGATAAAAAATAAACAAGAAAAGAATTGCTAGAGTTTTAATTCTCTCTCCTGTTTTTGCACCCGCAAGCATAAGAATTGAGGCTTTGCCTGTTACGCTTTGGGAAGTGCAAGGGAACACTGGTCTTTTATTCTGAGTTTTTTTGCAAAAATGCCGTTTAAGAGACTGCAGCTGCTTCAAACAAGCAGGTTCTTGTCATGTTTGCTCTCAGATAGGTTGAGCTTGAGAGCCTGCATCTGTGTACCTTGTGTGTGTGTGTATTTTTAAGGACTAAGCAGATTTTTTTAAATACCTGCCAGCTCACACCAAATACTTTGTCTTTTGCAACTCAAGAAAAGTTAAACAAAGATACACAAGGAGAGATTAACTGAAAAGGTGACTATTGTTTTGCTACATATATAAATCTAAAACCAATTAACAGGCATGTATAGGCAAAATCAGCTATAAATCCCCGCTGGAAATAAAAGCAGAATATTTAAAACTATACTATAAATTTAAAATCACTATAAATAATATACTATAAATTTAAAATGAAGAAACTAGTTATTTTATAAAACACAAATAGGGTATCAATTTTTTCTACTTGCTTCGTAGA